AGGGAGCATAGAGGAGCAGGCAAACTAGGGAGCCATGGTGGAGCAGGCAGTTCAGGGTGCCATGGCGGAACAGGGAGCTCAGGGGGCCATGGCGGAGCAGGCAGTCCAGGGAGCCATGGCGGAGCGGCCTCCGTGGTCTTGGCCTCGGCACTCGGCCCGGCCTCTACGGCCGGAGCCCTATAGACCCCCCCTCCAAAAAAATTCCTTGGGGGAAATTTCAGGTTCTGAGGCCCTCCGTGGGCCAGATGTGGGAACAGCGGACTTGGGAATAGGAGCCCTCCCTGGGCCTGACCTGGGAACAGTATCTCTCTCTGGGGTGGACATAGGAACAGTAGCCCTCTCTGGGCTTAACTTGGGAACAGGAGCCCACTCTGGGCTGGACGTAGGAACAGGTGCCCTCTCTGGGCTTAACTTGGGAACAGGATCCCTCTCTGGGCTGGACGTGGGAACAGGAGCCCTCTCTAGGCTTAACTTGGGATCAGGAGCCCTCTCTGGGCTGGACGTAGGAACAGGAGCCCTCTCGGGCTTAACTTGGGAACAGGGGCTGGAGCCGACACTGGAGCAGACTCAGGGGCTGGAGCCGACACTGGAGTGGACTCAGGGGCTGGAGCCAACAGTCTTTTTCTCCTCATAATCCTTTTTTGGTTTGAGGGAGACAGCTGCTGTCAGCTGAGGGCTTGGGAGTGAATTGGCCGGTGGGCTTGACGATGGAGCGGCCGGCAGACTAGACAATGGAGTGGCTGGCGGGTTTGACTGCTGAGCGGCCAGCAGGCTTGACTGCTGAGTGGCCGGCGGACTTGACTGCTGCGCGGCGGGTGGGCTGGAGAGTGCAGCGGTCGGCGGGCTTGACGGAGGAGCGGCCGGTGGACGTGACGGTGGAGCGCCCGGCGGGCTTGACGGAGGAGTGCTGGTTCTGGATTGGGGCCGGACACTCTCCAGACACCGGAGGATACCTTCCCTCCAGCTCAGTCCAGTGGTGTCTGGGAGGTCCACAGGGCGATGGTAATTGGCCCCAATCCAGAACAAGGAATTCAGCGTGGCGTCATCCAACGCTGTCTTTACGGCGAGCCTGCAGAATTCCCGGGCGAACTCCACTAGCGGGAGGTCCTTACGGGCTAGGGCCACGAATCTTGCGGCTGTTTCCATACCCGCAAGGAAAACAAAAAAACAAACTTGGAAAAAACGGAAACAAAACACGGGGAGAAGGGGCTCCGCTTACTGTTTCAGGTCGAGTGTTCTGTCATGCTTGCTGCTACTGTGAGGAGATGAAGGAGCGAGGAGATGTAGGAGAATTTCAAAGAATAGTCTTTAATGATCCATGGAACACACACGTAGCACAAGGGAATTGACGTTTACACTCGACGAAGAACAGACAGAAACTGAAGACTTATAAAGACAGGGAAAGAAAGGAGCAAACGAGATGATCAGCAACACAGGTGAACAGAATGAACTAATCAGGGCAACTAAGGGGAACTAAATCACGGAGCACATTAGGAGAAAAACACAACAAACTCGGGAACACAGGGCTGACACACACATACATACATACATACATGTATATATATATATATATATATATTAGTTGGTCCCCCCCCCCACCACCACCACCACCACCAATGTTCAAGACATGGTTATGGCCTTGATTTAATCAGGGGCGTGTCTATGTGGTGGCCAGGGGTGGCACCGGCACCCCCTGAAATTTGGCTGGCCACCCCAGGTGCCCCCCCCTACGAGATGTCTTGCGATAGGCTTGTTTTTAGTAAATTTCTAACT